TCCCTGTCTTTGGTAGAGGCCTTGTAATATGGTGATCACTCGTTCAAGAAGTCTGTACCAAATGCCCGAAAATGTCTAATAGATCAAAAAAGTCAGCCTTGGATATTTGAGGTTTCCACTTGGTAAAAAATATATATAAACCATTCTGAGTTAGAACTATATTATACAGTTCTTATGGTAAGCAGAGGTTCTCATGGCAAAGATGTTGATGTTGGTCTTCTGGATTGTAACACCACATGGGCTTGTAGGTAGATACCAACATTTTGGAGGAACTACTGTCCCAAATTTCAGGGTTGAAGTGAGATTATTGGGAAGGGGTAGTGTATGGAGTCTTCCAAATATCTTGCACCATTTCTTCCTCATTTCTCAGCTTTGATTGGCATATTTCTTCATAGCCTAGTTTTTCTCCTAACCTTATATAAACTGTCTCCTTCCCAATTACCTCACTTCAGTCCTTAGGATGGAGGCAGTGTGTTACTCTGAAGTATTGGTATCTGCATGTAAGTCCACATGCCATAACAACCTAGAAGACCAACATCAACATCTTCACTGCAGTGAAATCCTCAAATGGCAAACACATATCAGAGTGTAAACAGTGCAGCAGGGACACTAGTTATTTTAATATTAGGATGACTGATAACCATGAGAAACTTTATAATATTCAATTCATTCTTACTCATATTTATGCTTACATTATCTATTTCAAGCCTCTGTCAGAAGTTTCTGTTCTATGCAAGACTTGTCAAAGTCACCTTCCAAGGCTTATAACTGAAGTCTTATACTTATTGTCTTTTCGGTTTCTTTCTTCTTTTCCCCTCATCTCATTCAATAGTTTATTACATATGCCATCCGTTTCAAGCTTATAACCCTCTGTCAGAAGCTTCTGTTCCTTTGAAGATTTTTCAAATGCAGCTCAGTACTAGATACTTATCATTCATGACTTAAAAGGCTGATTGTTTGTCAGTTACAGTGGTCTCCAGATTCTCCTGCACAAAAGAACTCTTCTCTTCAAAGGTTTGGATTTCTTACATGCATATTTCACATTGCTCAAAAAAGAATATTCTCAAACTTTTGGTGATTTTTTTCATTGTCTTAATGTCAGAACCATACTTCTCTCTCATAGTGGCCTCACTAACCATCTTTTCATTCACAGAGTTGCATTCTGCTGCTTCTGGCCTAGTTTGCTTTGGATGCCAATTTCATACATAAACTGTGTAAATCCTCTTTATCTTTAAGCTATTTAAATTTCAACAACAAATTATGCTTGTCTTGTTCAGCACTTGCTAATACTGCCCTGGTTCTCATAAACAGCATTATCTAATATATTTCCTTGACATTATTTTATTATTATTTATTAACTGCAAATGGGTTTTTACCTGGTGGCAGTGGTGCAGACACCAAAAAATCATAAGACACAACAAAACAACACACATCACTCAAAATAAAACAACTCATAAGATTACAAAACCATAAGGCACAAGTGTTTTAAACACAACAGATAACCTAAAGTAGATAACTTAAAAATTAATACCAACTAGACATAAGACAGTAACAGTAATGAATTACATACACCATGAACTGATGCACTCACATTTCATCAGGACCTTCTCTTCACTTCACTACACTTATAAAGCCTTCCCATCCTCACCCCGATTTACCTCACTTCACTGCATCCACCCATGTATTCCCTTCACTTCACCTCATTTATCAATTTTCTAACCTTCTTCCTAAAAGTACTTGGTTTACAGGAGAGAGTCCCTAAAATATTCGCAGGTAGCTGGTTCCAGAGTTGGATGGTCATATTCACAAAGGAATGTTTTCCGATATCTGTCCTTTGCTTTCTGCTGCTAATTTTCTGAATATGATCGACCCTGCTCAGATAATATGGCCTTTGCAATCTGTCACCTATAGCCTTCCATACCCGTTCTCCCGTATACACTTTGAAGAGAGCACATATACGTGCTGTCTTTCTATGCTGTGCCAGGGTTTCCCAGTTTGAATCGCTCCTATGATATGGAAATTTACATGCTTGCTTTTGCACCCATTCTAACTCATTTATCTGTCCCTCCCTGTAAGGATCCCAGCATGCCGCCCCATATTCCAGAATCAGATGCACTAGTGATGTGTAGGCTAGACTTTTAGTGTTACTATTTCCCTTTTTGAGAACACGCATTGTAAAATGAAGTGCCTTCCAGGCTTTCTTCACCGTATAATTTACTTGATCAGCCCAATTCCCAGTTTGAATCGCTCCTATGATATGGAAATTTACATGCTTGCTTTTGCACCCATTCTAACTCATTTATCTGTCCCTCCCTGTAAGGATCCCAGCATGCCGCCCCATATTCCAGAATCAGATGCACTAGTGATGTGTAGGCTAGACTTTTAGTGTTACTATTTCCCTTTTTGAGAACACGCATTGTAAAATGAAGTGCCTTCCAGGCTTTCTTCACCGTATAATTTACTTGATCAGCCCAATTTAAATCGCTGCTTAAGAGTATTCCCAAGTATTTAGAACTACTCACTTCTGGAATTACTTGGTCCCATAACGAATAGTTTAGTGGTTCCTTCACCCGACTTCTAGTGAAACTAACTGCCTTACTTTTACTTGGGTTAATTTTCATAGCATTTTCAACCGCCCACTCTCCCAGACTGTTCAGATCCATCTGCATCTTTTCTATATCTTTGCTATTTATAATTTTCCTATATATTATACAGTCATCTGCAAAAAGTCTAATAGTCAATTCAATGTTCCTCCAAATATCATTTACGTATGCGAGGAACAGAAGTGGACCCAATACACTCCCTTGCGGTACACCTGACGTTACTCTGATATCAAGCAGTTCAGAAGAAGTCTGTTTTACTTCCTCTTTAAGAACAATTAATTCACTGCTCAGCAGTTCAAGATTCACCAAAATTTCATTGTCCATTCCTTAACTTCCCACTACATGTATCTCACCTGACTTATCTTTCTCTGGTAACAAAACTTCCTAATGGCATGTGATGGTAACATGAAGTTAGGCATGCTTTTGGAGGTGCAACAGTGTCATCGGGCATGTTAAATACTGCTGAGACTAAACAAGTCTTTGAAATGGGCACACACTGTAAGGTGGCCAATAACTATTCTGTTTCCTAAGTTATCAACACAGAATGGAAATAATGCATCAAAAGATGACTATTTGCTTGTACTTGACATACTATGTAAATGTACTTCCATGTAAGGTAGCAGAACATATTTGTATGTGTTAACCTTCAACAGTGGTTATGCAAAATAGTATCATTGCAAAGTTCCTAGAAGTCTTGTTTTACAAATATTCATGCAGTGGCAGCTGTAAGTGCTTCCATTTGTTTACAGGTTCTGATATAGAATTCTATATGGGCCCTACAGATTACTTAACCACTGATTGCCCAATTGTTTTGCAGAGACAACAGATATATGTTGGTAACATAACATGTACAAGTACTGTTTATTTCTGGCGACTGGTTTTAATACATTAGAACAGCGTTTCTCAACCTGTGGTACGCGAACTAAGTAAGAAAATCATAAGTTAATATTAACACACAGTTTTTCCTGAATGCACTTGGTTAATGGTACATTTAATGTGCTAAATTAGAATTAGTGGTACATCAGCAAAAAAGGTTGAGAATCCCTGCATTAAGGCATTAATTGTTCAGTGTAGTAGGAAATTCTTCAAGTGCTAGATATTTTTAAGTATGTTTCATGGCCAATAAGAAGACTGAAACTGCTGCATTATTCGTGCTTAGTTCATATCGTACCAGAAGCATTGGTGACTGGTATGTTGCTTTTGTGTATTCAGTCAAAGATCGCTGTTGTTTACATCTGCAGCACACTTGCTTTGTACAATATGGCTTTAAGTTTTGCATTTGATTCTTGTTTTGTGATTAAAATCTGGAATCAGATGCATCGATGGACAAAACTATGGCAAATAAATGGAACGGTGCTAGGAAATAAGGAAAGTCATATACAGCCTCTGACGGAGAGCATGTTGTAATGCATTTGGAAGTGCCTGAGGTAAAGTTGGTAATCAGCTTCCTTGGATGTTGGTAGTATTTCGGTTTGGCGGATAAGTTGAAATAGCTAGGTATTTCAAATGTAGAAGATAGTCAGTTTGTAGATACTAATATGAAGAGTTTAATTCAACCTCAAGACAAGATAAAGTAAAGTTGAACAGTAGGTTACACAAAGTTAACACTATAACTTTATGACTACCTTCTGATGATGTACCTTGGGGTCATAAGTTTATATAGGATATCCAATAAGGTGGGGTGAATGATTAATAGTCACAAGACATGCTGTCATTCTCCTTATCAATTCTAAAGAATGCAGATGTTACCCATGCGTCTTTACTTCATGAGGAAGTGATCTCGTTACAGGAAATGATATAACAAAGGAAAGTGTTTCAGCATCGCAAGAGGCATAGTCACAAGCTATATGAGTAATAGTAATGCTGAATTTAACAATGGTATCTATAACGCAGTACACACATGTGAACTAGTTTTCATATTACAATTGCTTAATATTAATACGTGGAATAGGGACTTATGTTACAATGTGCTAGAAAAACCTTACCACCAAGAAATGTATTCATTGGTGTCGAAATTTTGGTGAATTCTGATTTTATTTGGATGAGAATTTCATTACAGTCGGAGGATGTTTTGGAATTAGTGAACAATTTATTTTGTGAGATCAGTTATGTACATGACTTTCAACATATATTTATTGACTATTAATTTTACCCATTAATTCAGAAGATATTCAACATCGAAGAGTCATTATATATATATATATATATATATCTGTGTGATTTATATCAGATTTTGGTTATGGTCTGTTTGTCTGAGGGCATCACGGATCGTGTGGTAGATAACACCGCCTTGTCCGTCGATCGTCGATTGACAATAGTGAAGACGATATGCATGTTTGAGGGCCGGCCCTCCAGCAGACTTACGCAACTGTATGTTATTATCTGTGACATACAGTCTTAATCCTCTCGCTTTGTTCCTTGGTTATGTTCAGAGATTATACCCGCTTGTTACATTTCCTCTGGAGCATCGCTTGGTATTTTGGCAATCTGGTTAGGAGAGCGTTGTTTAGTAATTACTGTGCAAAAGTTGTGATTAATCGGCGTCAAGCTGACGGCGGAAATGAGTTCTTATCTTCAAGTAGCTGAGGATGAAGGCGAGGAACCTATAGAGTTGCCTACAGAAGACGATAGTACATTATTACTCTCAACTTTGGCCGCCCAGTTCCCAGGAACTTGTGGGTTAAAGTACCGTAACCCCGAATCCCGAGCTATGAGAGGGGTGCGTTTGGTGGAAGGAAGGTTACACCCGCCAGAAAATGGATGGGGAAATTGTGTATACTACTGCGTTTTTCCGAAAGGTAATAACTAGAAGTTATGTTATAGTCTCACGATGACCAGGTCATTGTGTGTCATATCTCATCAATTGATTTTCTTTGCAGAGAATAAACGTAAATCGGACGATCACTTAGAAAATTCCACTGCCAAGACGAAACGCATGGAAACAAAACTGAAATGCTCAGATCTTATCGTTCTTGGCTTGCCGTGGAAAACTACGGAACAACAGTTGCGGGAGTACTTTGAATCATTTGGTGAAGTGCTTATGGCACAGGTATGTAACGAGAATGGACCCCTTTTCCTCAGCAAACATATTAATGCCTTGTGTAATAACGTGACGAGTTATAGTAGCAGGGTATAGTGAAGGAGATTGTTGAATGGAGATGTCACTGCAATGGCTTACGTTGGTTTTCTTGGCTGTTGTAACATCTTGCTCACAATTTTACAGGGACATAGCCTACAGTCTTGGAGTGGGCAATAAATAGTGCAAGCAACCAGGTAATGACATGTAGACCTGCATTTTAATTTGGGTGTTGTTTAGTCACAAAATGTAATGTAGATCAGTTTATCCTGTATAATCCTCCAAACTGTTACTGTTATGAGCCCAAACAAACCATCCTAAATTAAATAACACAGCTGAGCAGTGCATTGTGATGTTATAGATTAGAATAAATTTTAAAGGCATATGTTTATAGTGTAACTTGTCAACCAGTCACTCATGAGATAGGTTAGGTAAGGGCAGACTTTTTCATTAAATTCAGTGCCAATAGTGAAAGTAAGGCTAGTAAATGATTACAAATTTTACCACCATTTCAAAATAAATTCAGATTGTAGGCTTTCAGCAAAGCTGTATTGTACTTTCTTTTCTATCAGCTGTATAAATATAGATTGTGTATTTTCCAAGTTTCTTTCGTATTTAGTACCAGACTTTTTTTTTACTTTGTTAGGGGTATGCGGCAACAAGTTTGAGAACTTTTGGTCTAGTTTTTTTTTTTAATAAACTGGTGAAGTTTTCAGTAAATTGTCCATGGTAGCCTGCAAAATGATATGAATGGGTGAGTGTGGCTGTAGTTATTTAAAGGCTGACAGCCTGTGATACAGTTGAAAGAGTAACGTTTGACTCATGCATATTTAGGCAGTAACACCATTATTTCAGAATAATTTATGAGCACTGTCATACTAATTAGAGAAATATCTGGAAAGATTTTGTCTAATTGGTTCTGCTTATATTACATTAACAAAGAAATTTATGCCTGAGAAATGGTGATTTCCACCATATCAATGAAGGTGTTCTTCAGTCTTGATGGAAAGTGGAATTTACCTAAGTTTACATTCTGTAGATGGCCATGTTGATGGAAGGAATTTGCCAGTGCTGTCAGATTCATATCTGATGTATTGTTTGTTTCCTAGGCGTTACTAATGCCACTGTATACACATCACAATTGTTGGTATTTTATTGCTGAACAATTTCTGTATTAACAGGAGGCATATACAAATTGGTCATATATGTAACTCACAGTCTTTGTGTAGGTGTGAATTAAAGCAGCCTTAATACTGTATGTTGTGGTCATGATAACTACATAACAAATGTTGAGTTGGGTATCTTGTTCATTTTGCTGTGGAACCCAGTCACACATCTTGAAAAGTTCATTCATAGATTTTTTTCAAATAGGGTGGACTGATTGGTGTCTTTGCTTAAAATACAGCATAAATAATTGAAACTAATGGAAGGTGTAAAGAAACAACATGGGGACAGGTATAAGGAAATTACAGGTGGTTGGAGTTACAATGCTGGCTGTATGCTTATGTCACTTCCAGGTGAGGATTTGAAAATTCTGAGCACTTGATTTTTTTGCACAGAGTGTACAACTGTATATGGGCAGAGCTTTATCTCATCTACCTTGAGAAAAGCAATAATACCTACAGTGATTACTGTATTGTAATTAGTTACAGATCTATTGGTCTCACTAGTTCTATATACAAAACCATGGAGTACGTGGTGAAATTTCATCCAATCTGAATTCTGGAGGGTAGAAAACTTTTTACAAATTCTCATTATACTAAAATGTATTATGGATCTTTTACACCATAGATCCCCTCTCGACCATCTAGTGAATCTGGAAATTCACATCCAGAATTATTTTATCTTGGTTTTACACTTTGTCAGTGTTTTATGTGGTTTGGAAGAGGTGTATGACACAATGTGGTGATTCGGTGACCTACGAACACTCCGTCTATGAAATCTTTAAAGTTGGCAGTTATGTTTTCTTTCAGTCTCTCCAGGACTTTCTCCTGTGTTTTCCTGGGCACTGTTTATCTGCACATTGTTTTAAAAGGGACCTGTTTTTGTAATTTCCATCAGGTTAATGTGATGTGACTCTGGAGAACTTATTGTTTTGCTTGGCATCAAAAGGCCCTGTGTGTACACTCACATTATTGCAGTGTTTCCATCTTGACCTGACTCTGCTTTAATATTAGCTCTCTGCTGTTTGTTCTGTTGTCCATGTTTCTTGGTATTGTTCTTAACACTTGAGATTGCTTCTCTATAAATGATAGCAGTCACTTAGTATTTTGAATGTTTTATCTGATTGATATTAGGGTGGAGACCAGATGTTAAAGCTCTGATTTTATCATACCCTAATTTTGTCTAAAGTAGAGTATGTTAGCTTCATGTATTGCTCCATATCAGAGTCCAAACCATCTATCATGGACCTCCTCACAACATAGAAATTATCTTGTTATTGATCCTTCTGTACCAGCCACCTTGAAAGTTTTTATGTGGAGTCTGGAGAACTTCCACCCCCCTTGAGGAGAAATCTTCTTTGCAGTTATGCAGCAAAATTTGCAACATGATCCCATCACCTGTTACACTGCTCTGTATTTTACCCCACTCACGGTAACAGGTGTGACTGAACATTACAGCCTCTAAACCAGTGGCTGCCAACATTTTCAATACCACAGGCTGGGGTAGCTCGGTCAGTATATTGACTGGCTATGGAGTAGATAACCGGGATTTTTTACTATAGCCTCTGTATCCAAACTGGTTCTGGGACCAACCCAGTCTCCTATCCAATGGGTACTAGGGTCCTTTCCCAGGGGTAAGTGTGGCCAGGCGTGATGGTGACCACTCACCCCCATCTAGTGTCGAGGTCAAGAATGAGTAGGAACAATATCTCCTCTGCCCCTAAGGCATTTAGTGGGACAGCCTTACTTTACAGGCTGCATTGGCTATTCAAATTTTTGTTGATGGCCACTGAAAAGTAAGTGGCATGTCACTGTACTCCAAAGAATGTACCTCTTCAATATTGTTTTGTATATGTGTGAAATGTGGTCTCTTGCTGTGAGGGAGGAACATAAATTGGAAGTGTTTGGAAAATGCTCAGGAATGAATTTGGACCTAAGAAGGTTGAAAACAATAGGCTGTTTAGGAAATTAAATAACCATGAACTTTGTAGTTTATTCTTTGAGTTTATGATGGTTTGTGTATGAAACTAGGATGATTATTAAAACCATGCATACTATGTAGTGTATTGGAATATAAAATAAGCATACAAACAAAACTGTTTACACTATGAAGGACAGTAATGCCATAGTGTAAACAGTTTTGTTTGTATGCATATTTTATACTATGATGGTTAGTTGAGGATTGTATACAAAATATTGGTGGGATCTTTAAAATGGCCACATAGAAAACTGAGAAGTAGACAGGAAAATAACAAATAGATGTGTCTGAGAAAAGTTGTTTGTGAGGTTGAGGCATGGATGGAACTAGCTCAAGATTGGTACAGTGATCGATGATACTGAATCTTCAGATTTTGCCTCCAGAGTTATCTTAGAAGACAGTCCAAGACTAATGACTCCTGGGTGATGTAAAAGTCAGGTTAAATCCTTTTCTGTGACAAGGGATATGTAATGCTTGTTTACAAAACTAGCATTGTCTGCAGAATAAACTGAATGCAGGATTCTTAAAAATAAAAAAAGATGTAGAATGAAGTGTGATAATGAAGAGACAGTAGTGACATTACCCGTGGTTGGCATACACAGTATATGGAGGTCATGCAAATGAATTTGGCTTGATGAAATAATTTCAGGTCAAAGTTCAATGGGGCCACTAACACAGTGTTGGCTGAAGAGCATAAATTGGCAGACAGGAAAGATGAATGTAACAGAAGGTTCTTATAATTTTTTGATAGTAATGTATATGTTATTATGGAATCAGCAGAATCTTTGATGTATGATGGTTCATCAATAGAAGACATTCCTAGTAACTCAGAATAATATGCCCTTGTACATGTATGCTATAAACTGTCAGAAACTTGTGATAAGAATTTTTAACAGCAGGAACAATTTGGACTTTGGTATTCTGGTTTATGCGCTATAGACTTATAGGTGTTGTCAGTGTTTTGGAGGAACTTCCATCTTCATGGAAGAAGTGAGAATGGCTAAGAGAAGTCCTGAAAAGGGTGATTTTGAGGAAGGCCCTGAAAGTTGACTTTCAAGAAAGACCCTACAAGGGATGCTTGTAGTGAAGGCTGTGAAAAAAGCCACTGTTGGAAGGCTTTAATAATGGCCATGGGCAGAGGAAGGGTTTATGGAAGTGCAAGCCTTGTTCTCTGAGCCTTCTTTACTTTTTCAGAGTGAGAATGAGAGGCTTCCATGACTTGCCTAGGGAGAATCCATCTGCCCTGTTCAGTGTGTTTGGGATAGAACCCAGTGTTTATTACTTACTCTGTAATCTGGTCCATGCATCTCAATTTTTTGGCCAGTATACTTATGTTTTGTTCCAGGATATGTTGGCTCAGATTTCTGTTATGTTCTGCCATAGCTGACTTATCTTTTAGGTAGAAATGGATAAGCCATTGGTGCTCTTTGACCATGATTTCAGTGGAATATCTCATTTGCCCAATGTGTACTGTCATACAGTTGCAAGGATGCTGTATATGCCTCTTGTTTCTAGGGGCAGGTTATCCTTGATAGGACCAAGGAAACTGAAGGCATTTCCTGGTGGGAGACTAACAGCATGATGTTTTGCTTGAATAGCTCCCCGCTAATAAATACATTAGAAGGTTTGCCAGCAAAGCATAGGAAAGTCACCAAAGTTGGATCCCCTCTGCATGGTGTTGCCCTCTCAGGTGAGATGAGAGCCTGCAGAAAATGTTTCTATAGCTGCTCTGTTTGAAGGTATTCCAGAGGAATTCCAATTTTTTGTGGAGACTATCCTGGTTGTAAGTGGCTTTGGTATTGTGTACCAAAGTGGTAACCACAGTATGCTTGATTGCTGGATGGTGGTGCAACTTGGCAGCCTGATTGAAGTTGGTGTGGTTGGACTTGCTGTATGACCCAAGGAGACAACTTGTTTCTTGTGTACATTAATATTCTTGAAGGGAAAGTGGCCTTCTGTCTCCATGCTGAATTGGTTGATGTGGTCAGGGAAGTCATTCAGTTTTACTAGTCTATGGGGCCAGGTCACAAACATGTCATCAGCAAATGGAACAGAGGAAAGGCTTGTGGATTATCCTATTGAGTGCCTTTTCTTCAAAATCTTATAGAACTAATAAGTGAAACAGGAAAACAAGTAAGACAGGACATGATGAAACAGTCTCGTTTTCTCATGAGCTTCAGGTCTTCCTTCATTGGCACCTTGTTGAAGAGTAAGATGGCAGTGAATTGATGAGAATGTCCTTCATCTTTACCCAGAGCGTGTGCTGTGTGGGTGAAGTCCCCAGAGTTTTTCATGTAGTGCTGGGAGTTACTTAGGAATGATGTCAGTTAGCCTGCCTTATGTTTTGTTAGGCTATATGTGGGAGCTCAAGTCATGCTAATGATGGACCATTTGTTAACTCCTTCCTTGTGTGTATGTTTGAAAGTCTGTATAGCCTTGGTGGCATTGAACCATATGGTCACACTTGTTTTATGACATCCCTTTTCACAGCCACTCTCATTTTTCCCATTGGCTACTATCCTCTAAAAGTAATCATTCCAAATCTTAACTTTGCTTAGGATGGAGGTGATAAATTTCTCTGGATCACTGTGGTTTGACATCATAACCCAGACCACAATCCAAATGATGCACTTAAAAATTATGATCACCATGAAAGTGAGAACATAAAGGGTTTATTTTGTTATGTGTGAGAGAGTATCAAATAAAATCCAAAAAGTTGTTTTGTCCCTGTTTGATGAAGAGTAAATACATTGTTCCCTATGAATTACCCTCTTTATCTGTTCAGTTGTTTTGTTGGGTCATTGTCCTATGTCTACTGTCGGCCCAGAATTGTTTCCATTGGTTTAAAAACTATGAATGTGCTGCCTGTTTCATCTCTTCTGTCATTGTGAAGTGCCTTCTTCACTGTGCTTCTTTTAGTGGTCTGAGCATGTGGAAATTGTTCAGAGAAAGATCAGGTGAAATAGGAGGATATGGATGATCCTGAATCCCAGGTCTGCAATTGTGTGAACTGTTGATAACAATCCTTAGTGTTGGAGCTAAACCCCATTAGAAAGCAATATTGTTCCAGAAAGATCTAAAATTGCATTATCCTTTTGAGTACTCCAGCATGTTGGTTTTGGTCTTGAAAGAACTCAACAAGAATCATCACTTTCATCTCCCATTATTCCTGGGGTTATAAAGGCTTTGAGGTAGAAATCAAATTCACACACATATAACTTAAAGCTTTGTCTGATAGTCACTGAGCTGAGAAACTAAATCACAGTGCTGACCAGTTCAGACAGGCAAAGCCACTGAGGTCCACAAGACATGAGAGTGATAGACACATGGTGCAGTTGTGTGACTCATATGCATCAGGTGACAACAGACATGTTAGCCACTTCATCATTAGTGAAAATATATGCATCATTAGGCTGTGCCAGTAATCATGGTGTTTTGTGCAGTTAGACACCGCCTACAGTACTTTGTCCCCACATTTTAATACGACATTAATAATGCAATACAACACTTACATTGCATATTTAAAATTTAAAGATATAGGACCATAACTATCCTCTGTTACAAACAGCTCAAACTATTGATAGCAAAGATCAATATTACAGCATATCTTACTGTTGTGGAACTGTTATATCCATAATCACAGTGTATTCTGCATGATGAAACTATTCTATCCATTATACTAAAAGGTTAATTAAAATCCACTCATGAGCTCTGCTTGGTAAAGAGGCTACAATGAGATATTAATTAACAAGATTAGAGGCTGGACATGTAACTTTTATGGAGGAAACAAACACATAGGATTTAGTTGGGGAAATTGCTGCCTGGAAGATCAAGATGTAGATCAGATACTTTAAAATAGGTATGAAGGAAGGAATTTGTATTGACATAAATTTGGTTGATGTGCAGGGTGTTCAGAAAAACACCCAACAGTTTTTATGTATTTAATATTAATAATTTTCTATTGTACAGAAGCATGTGATACATGAATTAAAGCTTACCTTCATGGAGAGTTTGTGTGAATGTAGTCTTCGTGTGAAGACATGTTCAATATGAGATCCTTGCTGTAAATTAACCGCAAACTTACTGTCTGGCAACCTGCCATCTGTGATCTATTTAGCTAATACCTTTAGTTTCCACTTGCAACTCTTGAACAGTGTGCAGGATTGCATGGTACACATCTTTGAGGTAGCCCCAAAGGAAATAATCAGAGATTTATGTCAAGTGAACATCGTGGCTAGGACCACTCATGCTCACATGATAGGACATGGCTTCCAGTCTCATTGTGCAGGATGTCCAAAACAACATTTACTATATGTGGTCATGCACCGTCCTTCTGGTAAAATGTTGTGTTCATATGTCTTGCTTCCTGAATTACCAGAATGGCCTCATTTTGCAGTTGCTGGGGGTACTGCTGGTTTGTTATGGTGCCCTCCACAAAGATTAGTTCAGTAAGCCCTTGCTTGCTGATTGCATACATTTTGCAGGATGTAGTTGTCTCCACAGTTCTGTGGATTTTCAGAGACCCAGAATCTCATGCTCTTCTTGTTCATAAGTGCACTGAGGGGGAAATGGTCTTTGTCACTAAACCACAGGAAATTTAACGTGGCCGAGTACTGCTGCAAAAACTGTAAGAAGTCTTGACAGAACTCATCTCCACTGCTAGTTGGATGCAGTAAGCATCTGTACCACTTGAATTTTGTATGGATACAATATGAAATCCCATCGTATGATGGTGTTTTTTGATGTTCTTTTCATGTGGAATGACTGGGTACATCATGTCACAAATTTTCTTGAATTTAAAAGCAGCACTTAATGTACACACACACACACAACATTGTCCTTCATGTGAGCTGGCCTGTACATTCCCAACACACATTTCTTGTTGTCACAGACACTAGCAGTTGATTCAGACTTCTGTACCAGGTGAATTATTGCTCATCTTGCTGGTTCCTATTGCATGTTGAAATTTCTCTGAAACTGTCTTTGTATTTTCACAAAACTACTCTTTCATATGTTTTGACAATAAACATAAGCTATCCCACGCTGTGCACCATCTTG